ATTTTGTCATTTTTTAATGCAGAGTAATACTCCATAGTGTATAAATGCCACATTTTTTTTATCCATTCATCTATTGAAGGGCATCTAGGCTGGTTCCACAGTCTTGCTATCGTGAATTGAGACTGTTCTAATGTGTATATCAATGCTCTCCATCGGATGGGGGGTTCTCCAACACGAGTTCTCCTTCTTCCTCTCCTTTTCCCCCTCCCCCGCCTCCCAGGAGGCCTGTTTATCTGCTTGGTGTTCACAGGCCGCTGAGGCCTGGTCATTTTTCTTCTTTTTGTCTTTCTGATCCTCAGGCTGGATCATCTTCAAGGTTGTTGACTTTTTAATTTCTGCCTGCTCAAATCCACTGTGGAACCCCTCTAGTGGATCTTTCATCTTGGTCATTGTACTTCCTGATTCCAGAATTGCTGTGTTTCTTAAGTCATTTTGATCTCTTTATTCATATTTTCCAGTGAGATTCTCGTACTTTCTAGTATCATTCTCTTGCTTTTCTTTCGTTTTTGTAGACATAAAAAACCCCTATGTATATATTTTTAGATTAGCCAACTAAGTTTTTGTCTTATGAACCCAACCTCTGGACTTCCTCGGTGAAGGTCATATTGGCTCTTCTTTTCCCTGTGTCTGGGCAATATTATTTTGCATGACTCATAAGTTTTTTGTCATTGTTATAGAAACAACATATTGTCAAATATTTAAAATAACAAAATGTGGAAACTCTAGAAATCACATTCTTCCCGCTTTCCAGGGTGTGACATTATTGTTGTACTGTTATCATGGTCATTTGTTTGTTTAGTGATTCTTCTGAACTAATTCTGTAAAATCTGTATTCCTGGCTGGGCAAGGCCACCCGGTCTGTGCTGGGTCACTCTAGAGGCTCATAACCAGGCAGACGCTTCCCTGGATACTGAACTCAGCAGCCCCCTCCCCACCCCTTGTCTTTGTCAGGGGGCTCTGCGTCGTTTGGGGTCGCCTTCAACTTTTAGGCAGGAAGTTTCGGACTCTGCATTCGCCTTTGCTTTTTGCCGTTACCTCAGGGTCAGGCAGAGGTGAGAGCTTAGGGCGACCCCAATCTCTTGACCCTGGGAACCACCCGGCAGCGCTGCGCATGCGCTGGGTCCTTGAGGCCTGCAGGAACACGTGGCAGCTTTGCCAAGCCCCTGTCAATAGCTCATTCCCTATTGGTTTTCCTAACCGTGATCTGCCACTTGGGGCCCATGATTTGATGATGGCTTCAGACTGTTTTCACCAAAACCCCAGGAAGAGGCTCTTCACACCAGGTTCAGATATGTAGACAGTCTTGAAAGTGGGGACTTCCAGGAAGCACCAGAGAGGTCCATAACAGTAATTCTGGAGGTGGGGGTGGGGGCCTTCCCAAGTGCTCTGTGGGGGTTTCTATGAGGGTAGATGCAGGCTCTTGGAGGCCCTTTCACAGGTTTGGAAACGTCAGTCACAACCTGCCCCCTCTGGTGGCCGTAAGTGGGACTGCAGGCTGCTGGTTGGCAGGTGAGAGGGACTGGAAATGGGGAAAGTAAGAACCCCCGCAGCTCACTGGGATCTCGCTCATGTCCTAAATAGACATCCTGATTGCCACAAGCCTTTGACTGATTTCTGGAGTTCTGAAAAAAAAGATTGTCACCATTTTTGCCATTGTCCCCACTGCTTTTACAGAGAATTTCAAAGGTCCTTCCTGCACTGCCATCGGCACTCCGATACCGGGTGTCTCATTAAGGACACTGCTGCACTCGGTGACTTCCTGAGGCCACCTTTCCTTGGCTGAATGGTGTGGGAATTCCTTGGCAGGGTCCAGTGTTGGGGACCGCCAGCCAAGGCACACACCTTAGGCTAGTCTGTACCTGCCATAGGCTGACTGTGTGACCTTGGTCGAAGAAGCCGGAGATCAGAGTACTGACTGTGTGCTGGGCTCTGTGCCGAGGTCTCAGACTGTGTCACATCATTCTTGCAACAACCAAGAGATTTTGTTCCTACTTAACAGATGAAGAAATGAATAGTATACAAAATGGCCAGCGCCGTGTTCATTATCGCCACATTGTTGTATTTGCATGACTGTTATCCTCGGGGAAGGAAGTGACACTGATGGGGTCACTCAAGGTCATTTGAATTCCAGCCCGTCCATCCGTGGGATTCCGGAGCTCAACCACATCCACATCCCAGCTCCCTGGCCAGGTTCCTCCCTGCTCTGGGTCTCACCTCCCAAGTCCTAACAAATGAAGGATTTGAAAAGACTGCAGTTAGCCAGTCTGCACATGCTTACTGCTTTGTCCTGCTGCTTCCAGGGTGACATTATGGAAGCCTAGGATTCTGGGAGGTGATGTTCTTTGGTTTGGCTCGCAGGTGTGTAACCCCATGTGTCTCTCTCCCCCCTTCCCTCCTTGCTTTCCCCACCCCCTGCAGAAGCACGAGGGGACAAGGCCAAGTGGGTGTTCACCTGGCCCCTCATCTTCCTCCTGTGTGTCACCATCCCCAACTGCAGTAAGCCCCGCTGGGAGAAGCTGTTCATGGTCACCTTCGTCACCGCCACGCTGTGGATCGCCGTCTTCTCCTACTTCATGGTGTGGCTGGTGAGTGGTGGGAGCGGCGGGGGGACTGGACAGCCAGCCCCTGTCCAGCAGAGGAGGAAGGCTGGGCTCCAGGCCACCACAGGCACTGCTGTGCCACCTCGGGGCCAGCGGCTTATTGCTCAGAGGACAAGGGTTTAAACACGGTGCAGGCGCTGTGCTGTGTGCCAGGGGCTTGGCCGCAGCTTGTGCTCACCTCTGAGGCGGGCGTGCGGAGGGACAGGGACTTCACACAGGTGAACGGCGGGATGGATGGAGGATTCTGGCGGGGGTGGCTGATCACGGCCCCCTCACTTCTGGGTTCCCCAGGGGAATGTGAAGCACAGGGGCCGGGGCCGTGGGAGATGATGGTGGACACAGGTGACTCTCCCCAGGACCCCCCAGTGCTCCTCCTGTCCCTTCCCCTGTGCCCAGCTCTGCTGTAAGCGCCCCATGTGAACTCCCCCATGACGACCCCATGGGACAAGTACTGTATTGTCCCCGTTTTACAGATGAGGAAACTGAGGCATAGAGAGAGTGAGGGTCTCGCCCAAGGTTACACCATCCGTGAGTGCTAGAGGTGGGATTAGAACCCCAGTATTGGCCTCCTGGTCCGTGGCCTCCACCCACACCAAGAGCTGCCTCCCACTCTGTGCCTGGAGTTCCCGTGCCCATGGATGGAGGTTTTGCAGCTTCTCGAAAGCTCCTCGGGCCACACTTGACGGCTCCCTGTACAAACCCCTCGCTGGCTGGGCCAGGCTGCACCAGAACCCACGGTGCTCCTGGTGCTGCGTGCCCCAGCCAGAGGGCCCCTGTCCTCCTCCTGAGCCCGAGTGGAAGCCCAGGAGCAAGGAGAAGGTTTCCATGTGGCTGCCTTCCCATGAGTGGTGAAGCTCATCTGTCGCCCACTCACGCTTTGGTGGCACCCTTGGGGCACTGCATTCTCCCCAGACACCTGGGTGGAGACAAGCGAGGCCTGACTTGAGAGGCAGCAGCCAGGTGGCTTCCCCTGTGGTCACAGGGCCACCTCCCTCAACTCCAGAGGAACCACACAGCTCAGTGTGAACAAAGGTCGGGGGCGGGGGGCGGGTGTCACACCAGTCCTACCTCTTGGGAGCCACTGGCCTGGGCCAAGGTGGCCCCCTCTGTGAAGCGAGTGACCCGTGCTGTCTTGTAAGGCTGTTGGAGCCTGTTTTAGCAGCTGCTGTGACCAAGAACCCTGACAAGAACAATTTTAGAGAAGGAAAAGATTATTTGGGTCTCTCAGTTTCAGAGGTCTCAGTCCATAGATGGCCAGCTCCACTGCTCTGGGCCCAAGGTGAGGCAGAGCATCGTGGGGGAGGGGTGTGGGGGAGGAGGAAAGCCGCTCAGGACATGGCCCCTCACCAGCAAGAAAATAGAAACCCCAGGGACCCACCTCCTCCATCCCCCCTACCGCCTAGGTACCACCCAGTTAGTCCCCATCAGTGGATTAATGCACCGATGAGGTTAAGGCTCTCGGAGCCCAGGCATTTCACCTCTCAGCCTTCTTGTGTCGTCTCACCTGCGAGCTTCGGGGAACACCTCATAGAGCCTAACGCCTCAGGCACACAGGCAACCTGGTTCTGCTCCCAGCCAACCCCATCACACCCTCCTTGCCCTCCCCAAGCAGTGCGCGAGCCCAGGCAGGAGTCCAATAGGATTCTGAGTAGCTTTGGGGAGCTGTCATGCAGGGCAGGGGGAAGGGGGCTTTCCTGTGTTGGGAAGAACTGGAAAGAGCTACTCTGAAAAACCCCCAGGACGAGGTGGCAGAGAGCACAAACACTGTGCCTTGAATTTGAACATCTTAATTTTTCTGAAGCAAAACTACCCACCAGCCCATCTATGTTTAAACACAGCACCCAGTGGGTTTTCTTACGTGYGTTCCCCAAACAACATCCCAGGTAAACAGGGTTTTGTGGCATTGGGAAGATCAGATTAATGAAGGTGTGCAATCTTCCTTCTCTAGTTACAGAAAACAACGGCCTGGGTCGCTCTGCTCTGGTCAGCTGCAGGGCCGGACCCCCGACCCGCACATCCTTCACCTAGGAATCCCACTGCTGTTTTTTAAACCAGAGACATGGTGGCTTGGCCCAGGGTCAGGGGCCACCTTGCTGGGGCCCTCTTACCTGTGGTTTTGAACTTCAGATGGCCTGGTTGGGGGGGTCTGACAGTGCCAGCAAGGTTTGCTGGCCTGGGAGCAATGCCCTTGCTGTCACTGTGCCCTGGTTAGGGTGCCAGGGAGGAGTGAAGTCCCCTACCTGACTTTTCCCTCTCTTGCCCCCAAAGCTTCAGGGAAAATGAGTGTGAGCGTCCACAGGGAGGCACCTTAGAAGTGGATCACCCTTTTCCCCAGCACAGTTGGGGACACTGAGGAACAAGGTCACACAGGTAGTCAGGGACAGAGTTGGGACCTGCCCTGGGGCTCTGGACATGGCTTTCCTTCCCTTTCTGAAGCCTGAGCGTCAGGAGGCTCAGAGGCCGCAGGGTTGGAGCCAGGCTGAAGCAGGGCTCTCGAGGCATCCCTGATCCTAAATATGCTGGGTGCTGTGGCACCCCGCAAAGGCTGCCTGCATTCTAGCCCCCCGTCACTCTGTAGTTAAGGGGGGGAAGCCCTAGTAATCCCAGGGTAACCCAGTTTCTGTGCTGATGGTGTCCAGAGTCACCAATTATAACCCTGTTGGCCCCTCCTGGTCTGGCCTGTGCAGAGCCCCTCTCAGCCTGCGTGGATTAATCACTGACGGCTCCTTCTTCCTTTTTGCCCCCCACTCTCTCCCTCTGTGCACGGCTGAGAACAATCTCATCAGCACAGGATGATCTGAGAAAATGACGCTCACTCTAGAGCAGGGAGGGACTTCAAGTAGCACTGAGCGGACCCTCCTAGTGGGTCTGCTGCCCTTAGACCCCTCAGCAAAACTTTCCCCTAACAGGGACATCTTTTAAGACCAGATGCTGGCTGCCGGCCAGGGCCGAGCTTTGCACTTAGAAAGCTTGCCCTGTCTAGGGCTCTCTGAGCCCCAGGAAGCCCAATCCGCAGTCTCTTTGCCCCCAAAGATAGCAAACAAATGATTGAAGCAGAAGGGGAGATGCCACCGTGGACATCTGCCATGAGCCAGGTGCTGTCACCCTGCATTTTCTCATTTTGTCCTTAACAAGCCCATTTGACAGATGAGGGGGCTGAGGCTCAGAGGAGCATGTTGGCTCACCCAGGGTCACACAGCCGCTCGCAGGATTGGAACTAGTAGCTGAGATGTGAAGGGCTCTCGGGTGCCACTGTCTGGATCTCTAGATGGAGAGGCAGAACAGAGCTGAGGGCTTGGTGAGCTGGGGTGGTCCAGATGCTTCCAGGGCTGTCCATCTGACAGCTGCTCCGACCCCACCATCCCTCCAGGTCTCACATTCATTAGTAGAGTGTGTGACTGTGCACCAAGAGCTTTAAGAGCCTGTGGATCCTTTGATCCAGAAGTTTTACCTCCTGGAAGTTACCCTAAGGTGGCAAAAAGCCAAAGATGTACGCACAGGACAGCATGATGGAAAGGCTGGAGCACCAGCTGTAGGAGCAGAAACTCGGCTTAGAATCCCTGCTCCATTGATAACCAGCTGTGTGTCCATGGCACTGTGGCTTAACCTCTCTGACCCTCAGTTGGCATAACAATCATGCCTCCCTCATCAGTGAGTGGTAAATGACAGACTACATGAGATTGTAGAAAACACCTCGTACTGAACCTGGTACACAGTAAGTGCTTAATAAATACTGTCATAGGCCGTGAGGTTATAAGAGCCAAAAAGAAAACAGCTAAATATCCAGCAGGGAGGAATCGGCTAACGTTTTACAGCCATACAGTGAAATGTAAGTGTCAGCTAAAATGTGTGGTAGATGACGGTTCCAACGGAAAGGTGTCCCAGGGTCATTATGTGAAACAGTTACAAAAGAGATGTTGGTGGTGGACTTGGATGTCATTTTTCCTGACATATACATATACCAAAAACAAGGTCTGGAACCTTCTGAAATATTGTGCCCAGACCAGCAGCCATACCAACCCCGGGGCCTTGTTAGGAAGGCAAGTCCTCGGCTTCCCCCGGAGCTCTGCTGGGGCCTGGCAGTCTGCATGGGCACCAGTCTGCACGGGCACCAGCCCTGCAGGGGTTTCCTGAATGCTCGAGTTTGAGGCCCACGGCTGACCTAAGAGCTGAGCAGTGGCTGTCTGTGGGTCTTAGAAATGGTAGGTCATTGTATTTTATTTTGTAAATGTTTTGAGACATAGTACTTGTTCAATCAGGGAAAAAAAGCACACTCCAGAGATACTTTCAAAACTGAACCATATTCCAGATTTTCCCCTCTGTGACAGCAACGTCATGTTCAAGTTAAAAGCTCACAGGGTGGGGACAGTTTTGGAGGTGTCGGGTGGGCTCACTCCCCACCTCTCCTGCAGGTGACCATCATCGGATACACCCTGGGCATCCCCGACGTCATCATGGGCATCACCTTCCTGGCCGCAGGCACCAGTGTCCCCGACTGCATGGCCAGCTTGATCGTGGCCAGACAAGGTAGGGGTTGAGTCTGGCCCCCACAGCCACCAGCAGTGCCTTGCCTGCCCGAGTGTAGTTGGCCAGGTGTGGCTCTGAGGGTGGCAGCTGTCCAGTCCTGGTACAAGGGAGATGGTCACATCCGGAAGCGTCACATCTTAGATGCCATCCGTGGGGAGAGCAGTCCCATGGTGAGCTCCTGGAGGTGTCTGGAAGCATTCACCCTAGTGGTTGTCAAAAAATGAATCTAAGCTGGGCCCAGTGGCACACGCCTGTAATCACCGAAGCTTGGGAGGCTGAGGCAGGAGGATTGTGAGTTCAAAGCCAGCCTCAGCAAAAGTGAGGCACTAAGCAACTCAGTGAGACCCTGTCTCTAAATTAAATACAAAATAGGGCTGGGGATGTGGCTCAGTGGCTGAGTGCCCCTGAGTTCAATCCCCAGTACTCTCCCACAAAAAAAAAGAATCTATCTTGTGACCTCCAACCTCCAAAGTGAGACTCCACACAGCCAGCAAGCTGACAGGAGCCGTGTCCCAGGGCCAGGAAGGGAAAATGAGCACCCTCTTCATCCAGCTCGTCCCCCTTCCTCTGGCTTCAGAAAACAGTGTTTTGCCGTAGTGGTCTCCTTGTGAGCCTGCTGAGCGGCCACATGGCGCAGGAGGAGGGCTGCTGTGCGGGCTCCGAGGGTAGAACTAAGAGCTGTCCAAAGTCCCGCTTTTCTGCCAGTGAGGGGGCCTCTCAGAGTGGACTTCCTGGTTGATCCGGTGGACACAGTGGGAGGTCAAGAGGGCAAGAGACCACAGTTTAAGTGACTGGCCCTGGGGGGGGGGTGTCATGATGTGAGAAACCTCAGGGTTTGAGTAGGGGTCCCAGTGAAGTCACTGCAGGTCTCCTTTTGGAACAAGGGACAGATGGTCTCCTTGGCCCACCTGTGGTGGTCTGAGGAAGGACGCCATCACAGAGTGGCTATGATGAACTGTAGGCGTACAGAAAAGGGGGGAGCCTGCGACCTGGACTGGGGGTGCATCATGGTCATAGGGTGGCAGAATCGCTGTGATGGACAGAACCCCACGGGCATGGTAAGATCAGGTAGCTTCTCAACAGCGAAGGGCGTAGAGACCGTGTTAGGAGGCTGCTGCGCCACGCAGGAGAAGACCAGCAGCTTGTTTTAAAGGGCTCCCAGCTCAAGTGTGGCCCACTGACATTGCCCTGGAAGCCGGGGAGAAATGGGGCCTCTGGGCCCTGCCCCAGTCCCACCAAACTGGATCTGCATGTTAACAGAACCTCCTTCCTCCCCCGGGTGATTTGCGTGCTCATTAAGGTTGAGTCACGGCCCTAAGAGTCCCCGAGGAGTCACACCAGATGCCACAGGTGCTGCGTAGTGTGGGGACTCCAGCAACCCCAAGGAGCACCTGTCTCCTCTCCAAACTCCCGCACCTTTTCTCCTCCCTCCCTCCCTGTCTGGGGAGCCCCGTGTCTTCACCAGGCACCAGCAGCTGGTCCAGAACAGTCCTGCGTGTTCCTGAGTTTTGCCAGACTAGGATCCTGGGAGGCCAGGTTCCCAGAGCCGCGGCCCCTCACAGGACCAAGCTGCCAAGACTCTGAGGTCACTCGGAACAGTGCCTGGCAGGAAGGAGCAGGAGCGTCCGCCCAGCCCTGCAGACCTTGGGGGGCCTTGTGTGCAGGAGTCAGCAGATGACAGCAGCCAGGACGGGAGGGGGTGGGCCCTCGTCCAGATGTTGGTCAGAGCTGCCGGGCTGCCCAGCCACCAAGCAGTGTCATGGCCTAGGTACCGTGTGCCAGGCGTGCTCATTTTGCAGACCTTGGTGTGTGTCAAATTAGGGCTGAAAGGGAAGTTAGAACAGACTTCAGCCAGCACGAGTCTTATTTATGAATTTGCTCTCTGCACTTTAATCCCCCTCAAGAGATTGAGCTCCTCAGCTGGTGTAGCTGGCATAAGACTGGACAGTGGGCATGGCCCTCAGCCTCTGAGATGCTTCTGTTCTGTTTGGAGAAAGTTTACCCTTTAGGAATGACCAAGGCATGAGACTTGTTGCCCTGTGATCCTGGCCAAGGCCAGGGTACCTTTGCCTGGGCCACAAGCAGGACCCTGATGGCTTGTCATAAAGGGTGCCAGACCAGGCGTCCTGACAACGGGCCACTCACACACTGTGCCCTTCATCATCAGCCCCATGAGGATGATCTTGTCCCCAATTCCCCAGCACAACTGGAGCACTAAGTGAGGCAGAGCTCATGGCGGGTCCTCAGAGAATGTCAGCTGAAGGTCAGAGTTCAAGGTCAAGGTGTGGGCAGGGTTCCTCCTCAGTGCCTTTCTCCCTGTGTGCTGTGTCCAAGGTCCTCCCAGTCACGTTGGATTAGGGCTCACCCTGATGACCTCATCTTAACCTCTTACCTTGTCAGAGGCCCTGCCTCCAGTAAGGTCCCACCCTGGAGACCTGGGGGTTAGGACATCAACAAGTGAGTCTGAGGGCCACGATTCAACCCGTAACAGGGTCTTTTAAATTTTTTGAAGGGAGAAGATCTTAAACCTCACAAGAAAGGTCTTAGGAAAGTAGGGTCCATGAGGAGGGGATCTCTTTCTAAGGAATAGCCCTGAGGGGACAGTTGTGAGAAAGCACACGGGTTTCCAGAGACCTGCTCTTGATGACGGAAATGTGTTGGTGGTCCCCAGGCCTTGGCGACATGGCGGTGTCCAACACCATAGGAAGCAATGTGTTCGACATCCTGGTGGGGCTCGGCATCCCATGGGGCCTGCAGACCATGGTCATTAGTTATGGATCCACGGTAAGTCCCCCCAGTGCCCAGGGAAACAGGTGGGTGCACTTAGCCCAGGGTTTAGGAGATATGCCTGTCTCCATCCTTGGCACCTTGGCACCCTCCTTCTTTGTTCTTCACGTCTGTTCTATGGGTGCGCTGTACTTGTACGTAGGAATGGGATTTGTTGTTCCATACTCATACTTGCATGCAAAGTAGCAACATGATCTGGCTCATATCCCTCCCCAGCCCTCTCCCCTCCCTCCCTTCTTCCCACCCCCTGGTTCCTTTCCTCTACTGATGTCTCCCTGGTTTGCGGGAGGTCCCCACCACCCCCACCTTTCTTTTCCTTTTTCCTCTCCAGCTTAGGAGAGAACACATTCCATCCTTAACCTTCTGAGTTTGACTTATTTTATTTAACATAATGGACTCCAGTTCCATCGATTTTCCTACAAATGGCATATTTCTTTTTCTTTATGGCTTTTTCTTTATCCATTCACCTGCGGATGGACCCCTAGGCTGGTTCCATAGTTGGCTGTTATGAGTTCTGCTGCTGTGAACGTGGATATGCGTGTATCACTGTAGTAAGATGATTCTAATTCTTTAGGGTAAATACCGAGGCGTGGTACAGCTGGGTCCTACGGTGCTTCCATGCCTAGTCTTTTGAGGAAACTCCATACTGATTTCCATAGTGGTTGTACTAATAGGATTTCATGTCCCAACAACAGCATAAAAGTGTTCCATTTTCTCCATATCCTCCCCAGCATTTATTAATGTTTGTGTTCTTGCTGACTGCCACCTGACTGGTGTGAGGTGAATCTCAGTGTAGTTTTGATTTGCATTTCCCATGTTGGACATTTTTTCATATATTTGTTGGACATTTGTATTTCTTCTTTTGAGAAGTGTCTGTTTAATTCATTTGCCCATTTAGTAATTGAGTGGTTTGACTTTTTGGTGTAAATCGTTTTGAGTTCTTTCCATATTCTAGATATTAATCCTCTGTCAGAAGAGTAGCTAGCAAAGACTTTCTTCCCTTCTGTAGATTCTCCCTTCACATTCCTGTTTCCTTTCCTGCTCAGAAGCTCTTTAATCTGATACTGTCCCATTAATCAACTTATTTCCTGAGCTTCAGGGATCCTATTGAGAAAGTCGTTGCCCGTGCCCATGTGCTGGAGCGTTGACCCGACTTTTCTTCTAGGAGTTGCGTAGTTGCCGATCAAATTCCTAGGTCTTTGATCCATTTTGAGTTGACTTTTGTGCAGGGTCAGAGACAGGGTCTAGTTTCATTCTTCTACATATAGGTAACCAGTTTTCCCAGCCTCATTTGTTTAAAAGGCTGTCTTTTCTCCGGTGTGTGTTTTTGGCACCGTTGTCAAGGATCAGACGACTGTAGATGGTTTGCCCTGTGTATTCTCTTCTGTACCATTGGTTGTGTGTCTGTTTCTGGGCCAGGACCATGCAGCTTTTGTTGCTATGGCTCTGTAGAATAAGTTGAAGTCAGGTTTGTGATGCCTCCAGGGTTGCTTTTTGGGCTTAGAATTGCTTTGGCTACTCTGGGTCTTTTATTCTTCCAAATGAATTTTAGGATTATTTTTTTCTAATTTTGTGAAGACTGCCATTGGTATTTTGATGGGGAATACATTGAATCTGTGTATTGCATTTGGTGGTAATGATGTTTAACCACATTAATCCTGCCTATCCAGGAACATGGGAGGCCTCTCTGTCTTATGAGGTCTTCCCCAATTCCCTTTTTCAGTGTTCTGTAGTTTTCATTGTTGAGGTTTTTCACCTCCATGGTTAGATTTTTTTTTTTTTTGAGGCTATTGTGAATGGAATTGATTTCCTGATTTCTTTCTTGGAAGCTTCATTGTTGATATAAAGGAAAGCTACTGATTTTTGTATGTTGGTTATTGACCCACTACTTTGCCAAATTGCTTATTAGCTCAAGCTGTCTTTTAGTAGAGTTTTTTTGGATCTTCTAGATATAGGATCCCATCAACTGCAAACAGTGATTATTTGACTTCTTCCTTTCCTATTTTTATCCCTCTTATTTCCCTCTCCTGCCTAATTGTTCTGGCTAGACTCCCCAGCACTATGTTACCCAGGAGGGTGGGAGTGGACGTCCTTGTCTTGTCCCGGGTTTTAAAGGAAATGCTTTCAGCTCTTCCCCTTTACTACGAGGTTGGTTTTGGGTTTTTCGCGTGTGGACTTTATGATGTTGAGGTGGGTTCCTTCCATTCCTCGTGTCTTAAGTGTTTTTATCATGAATGGGGCACACACCTTCTTTGACAGCTTCCAGAACAGACTGGGGTGGGGGGTCTCAATAAGGGATCCCATGTTTGCCGAGGGCTCTTCAGTGCTTCCACCTCTTATCTCAGCCCGTCCCCCTCCCGGGCCCCTTCCTCAGAGAGCAGAGTCCAGGTTGAACCCACATTGTCCAGACCCCCTGGCCATGTGCTTACCCGAGGACCCTGTGTTCTCCTGAGCAGGGAGTGAATAAACCTGAGCACGCTGGGCATTCACAGTGGATTGGCCACGCAGGCAAGAGGCTCAGAGCCCCTGTGTTTGCTTTTCCAGGTCAAGATCAACAGCCGGGGTCTGGTCTATTCTGTGGTGCTGCTGCTGGGCTCCGTCGCGCTCACCGTGAGTGTCTACAGTTCCAAAGGAGAAACCTCACACAGGCCTCATTTCACCAGCTTCTGCCTCGTCACTTGCAAGATTCCAAACACCTCCCTGTCCCCTGCCCCTGGCATAAGACAAATGGAGCAAAGGTGTACACCCACACATACTCCAAACCCAGGTTTCCCCAAGAGCATCCACCAACACTACTAAGCACTTTCCTGAGCAGATGAGATGTCACAGGGGAAGCGAACTACATTTCCTTTCTTCTTGCTGCCTCGTCCAGTGCCCTCTCTAGTGCCAGGGGACAGAAATTCTTCCCATCTGAGCTGACAAGAGGGGGTACGGCAGGCCTCAGGATGACACTTGGCAGTCGAGGCTTCCCTACTCCATGTGCCTAGGCCTGAGCTGAGCACTTTACTTCTGCGTTACTTCTCTGATCCTTACTGCTCCCTGATGAGGGGAGAGCAGGTATCATTCCCATTTTGCAGAAGAAATCGAGGCTCGGGGGGGTAAGTAATTTGCCCCAGGTCACAGACTGAGGAAACAGCAAATCTAAGATTCCAACCAGGTTGGTCTGATTTACAGAGCCGTGTGCTCTGCAGAGGTAACCGGTCCAGCCCTTGGAAGCCTTGATTCAGACATCAGGGAAGACAGTGGGGGGAAGCGTGCCCCACCCCCGAAAATGCAGTGGCGGGACACACACACACAGAAAGGGATGCCCCAAGCTGCAGTTTGCCAAGAATGGGGGCCTTGGGAGCCTTGGGAAATATGCCAAGGAAGAAAGACAGGCCACGTTCTGAGGCCAAGATAAAGACCTGCTTGTCTCTCGACGAGGCCTGGGCTGGGAGACTTGTGCACCTGAGGAGGTGGCCCTGCCTGGGGAGGKGAGTGCCCCGAGGGTGGCTGCTGGGTATCCTGGAGTGAGCAGGACTGGGCCATAGACTTCTCCTGGCATGTAGACTCAGGGCTGTTTCTGGTGAAACCAAGGAGAAGCCCATCGGGGACCATTTGCCCTTGTCTCTGTTCTGCAGCTCCAGGGTTTGTGAATTACACGTTACGCCTTCTGTGTCCCTCGTCCCCAAGCCCAACTCTTACACTCTGTCCCCCCAGGTCCTCGGCATCCACCTCAACAAATGGCGGCTGGACCGGAAGCTGGGCGTCTACGTGCTGGTTCTCTATGCCATCTTCCTGTGCTTCTCCATAATGATAGAGTTTAACGTCTTCACCTTCGTCAACCTGCCCATGTGCCGAGAAGACGATTAGAGCTGAGCCACCACCCCGAGCCTCCTGGCCGCCCACCACACTGGCGTCCTTCTCTCTCCCTCCCCTGCCACAGGTCCCTCCTGCCTCAGCCACCACCATCTGTCCTTTCATGAGCTGGAAGGAAGGGCCATCGTGGTCTTTGCCTGGTCCCAGCCCAGGCTGCTGGCCTGCTCCTTGGAGTCAGCCCCCCAAGGCAGGGTCCTGGCGGTACTCGAGTTGAGCAGCTCCACAGGTCCCTGAGCTGCCAGCTGCGGGGACATGGAGTGTCCCATCTCTTGCACACTTCTGCATGCAGCTTGTCTTTCTCCTCCATGGGCAGGCTCTGAAACGAGGCGGTCGGTGCCCACGAGGTCTCTCTGGGCAAGTGCAAAACAAAAGTGCCACTCTGTAGTGTCCTCAGCTCGGGGCCAGAGGAGTGAGGTCCTTAGGCAACATGTGTCCCCAGGAGCCTCTGACTTCTGCCGGAAGCACTCACGGTGTGGAAGAGGCAAGGCGTCATCCTGCTGGGCTTGGAGACCATGACAGCAGACATTCCACTCCTTTTTTCTGGAAAAATTAGAAGAATGGAAACATTTCTTTCACCGCAGAAGAGACAAACGCAAAGACTCTTATCCTTTTTATTGATGCAGAGAATGAGCAGTGAAATATTAAAAAAATAAAACATCCGACAGATCATCATACTTGAAAAATATCATTCCACACTAAAAGATCATGATGGGGACCCAAAAAGGTCACCCCTGTACAAAAACGAAACCTCTGTGTCTCGTCTTGCATTGACGTGAAGATGTTTGGTTTGGAATATAGAAAAAGGAGAAGGACCAACGTGGAAACAGGTGCTAACTCAGAGACACAGTGAGGACTGCAGTCCACTGCTCGACATTCCAGACCTTCTGTGTGAGGCAATGCACTGTCTGTCCAGGTTTGTCCATTTCTTTAATGTTTTAGCTTCATAACCCCCTTGTGGAAAGACGCAGTTGTTTATATGCCCAGCCAATTTCAGAACTGATGGTTTTAGTGACAAGAAGAGAGATTTCCTTCAAAACCATGCATTGCTCTCGGGTTAGCTGGAGGCAAGTCTGAAAACCATATCTTGGAATTTTTAGAGCTAATTTTCTTGAAACTCATAGTTTACTACATAGGAAAGGCCGGGGATAGGAGACTGATTAAAAAAATAGAGAAGCATGGAACTATGTTCAACTGCTTCGTAGCTCTAAAATGTATATTGAAAAGATTTATGAACACAAACCTTTCCTGGGTTCTCAAAAGCAAGCACAAATTAATTTTCTATAGAGTGTTCTTTTATTTTTTTAACGTTTCTATTTCAAAAGTCTACTGGATCTGATGCACTTTTAATATTGAGATATTTTGCACAGGAGAAGAGGTGGGAGCCACCCCTGTCGATGTCAGAGGCAAGGTTTTTAGTGATTCACCAGAAATCGCTTTAAACTCGGCAGTGAGTTTAACTCCAGTAGCTAACCCCCTCCTGAGACACCAAGCTCATGACCCATGTTGGAATTTGTGACTATGCTCTGTAAGGCCTCCGGAATTCCAAAAGGAGGAAGTGTTCGAGCCTGCGTCCCCAAGTTCCCTTAAGCATGACCCTGTGGTGGGACTTGGCTCCCGGCACCAGTTCCCATCCAGGACTCACATCAGTATTAGAGGGACACCATATCAATGCTTCTCTTTCTGTTTCTCTACCCAGAGCCTGGGCTCAGGGGCCTTCAAATCGAGAAAAAAAAGGATTTTCCTAAGAAATTGGCTAAGCAGGATGGGAGGGAGCCCATGCAGCAGTAAAAACTTAGCTGCAAGAGGTTTCAGAGCCACTGGGGACCAGTCTGGGTCTGAATAGCTTAGTTCAAAACACACACACACACACACACACACGCACGCACGCACACACACGCACGCACGCGCACACACACGCACGCACGCACGCACACACACACACACACGCACTCGGGGATAGTTTTTCCCACATATTCATTTAGTCTTGGGCAGGTCAAGTGATCTAGTTTAGTGGCCAACGGTAGCATGCTTGTCCAAGCGCCACGCCACCGCCCCTCCCCAGCTGAGCCAGTGCACGTGGGTTGGCCAGCCTGGGGCAGCAGGCATGGGCGTGAGTTTGCACTTGTGGWTGGTTCTTTGCGTTTAAGTCAAGACCTCATCAAATATTTAACTGACTCCTGGATTCCCCAGATCATCTCCTAAGATCTGTTCTTATCTGAAGTCTTTTTTTCTTTTTCTGAAAAAGACTAAAAATCATTTTTAGATAYGACAAGGACCAGGGTACATGGTCCCTGAAGATGTCCCTGTTGGTTTTCAATTCACTGAGTCCCTGTGTAACTTTCAGAGAATATATCCTAATYGCCCTCTTCTCTGCAGAATCCATTTGAGGTTATAAAGTCGACTCCAGCTGCAGTTAGAGACTATGAAATCACGTTTTTAATATGTAGTATGCTCCTCTTAGCTAATGTTCTTTGGACTTTAATGTGCCAACGTAATGTCCTTACAAGGCTCTATGCATTTATCAAACCTAAAATACTCTATGAAACAGTATAGGTGAAAAATACTCTGTTTTTAACTATATATATTTCCATCACAAGTTTAACAGTTGCTTGATGATTTAGGCCTTCATTTTTTAACTTACGCTTTCAGCCCATGCCGGATCACTCCCTTTATTTTTATCTCCAAAGCTAATTAGCATGGGGTAATTATTTCTGCTACAGAATAGACAAAAAATACATTAAGCTCTTCTCTGGGGGGCAGAAAAGCAAAAGGAACCATGTACTCAGGTAGAAAGTGTCTATAGAACARGGGCAGGTGATTCCTGCTTCTGGTCTGGAATTTGTCCTTACTGGCCCAAGGATTAGGGTGGACAGTGTGAAGTGTCTTGGGGACCTGACCCTGAAGGAAGGTTCTGGGTCAGCGGCTGTGAGAGATGGAAGGTTAAGGGCACTGTGGACAGTCAGTATAGCCCCGTTGCTCACCCCATCCTTCCTATAACACGGTCTGGAGTCTGTTGGCCTCTGCTTCTCCCTGTCACCTGCCAGCACCTGTGCACACACCTGGCTACAGGTGTGTGTCTGCACCTGCTCATTCCCCTCCCCACCTGTGAGGCCTCTTCCTGGCTTTTGCCTGTCTGGCCCTGCCTTTACAGACCCGAGCAGCCAATAGGCACTCACCTTCCCCGAGCCCCCACCAGGGTTTGCACACCACCCAAGCACAGTCCTGAAGACAGGGACCAAAAGCCCCAGCCTGGGCTGCCTGGGGTCTAGGTTTTTCCGACCTTCTCTTCCCTGGACACAAGGATTTGCAAGCTCCATCRCTGCAGCAGCCCACCCTTCAGGGAACCCTGGACTCCCCAGCAGGCAGGAACTCGGGAAGGCGCAGGTGGCATCTTGGCCCCACACCTGTCTTTCCTCTTGGCCTTCCTCCTCCTGGAACCCCAAGGCCCCTCCCTCTCCTCAAGACGTGGGTGGAGAAGGCCAGAAGGACAGGAGAGGGTCAGCTCATTGCTTCTGGGGAAAGTGGGAGAGAAGCYCAGCACTAGCAGAGAGCAGATGCATCCGAGATGCCTGTGGTTCCTGTCTGGAGCAGCCCTGTTGCCACGTTGTGTCCTTAGAAACTTCTAGAAATTCCTGGAAATGCTCTCTGGTTAGCTCTTGGGTGGCAGGAGGTCCTCATCCCCACACTCCTTGGACCCACTGCCCTCTCCATATGGACTCGCCCAAAGAGCATCCGAGCCCTCGCCAGGCGAGAGCGCTCCCTCCTGGGGTTTCTGGTCTCCGCGGCTCCTCACACGAGCCCCTGGAGCGTGAGGCCTACCAGCCGTGGGGCAGGGGCTTCCTGTTCTCTGGGTAACTATGCCCCACGGTGTCAGTTGTGTGGGAACCAGAGGGGGGTCTTTCACCATCCAGATCTACAAGGCTGAGAACCGGGGTCGGCGGCCTCCCGCCAGGTCTTGTCACAGGAACCTTGGCCTCATGCAAAGGACTCTTCCCCACAGGGCCCACTCCACGGGTGCAGATTTTAAAAAGGCATTTCCATTTAGGTTGTTGTAGTTGCTTATTAATAAAGAAACCTGAAACTGGACACTAGCTTCATACTTCACCTCGAACCTGGCAGCTTGCTAGCGGGTGGACATGGGGCTTGTCACGGTGCCACCCAGCTCCAGCAAGTGGGTGCCGCGTGAGATCGGGAGGGAGGCCCTCTCYGCCCCAGGTGGAGCAGTCTTTCCCAGGAAGCCAGCTGAGTGGTACCCAAGCTCTGATTCTTCTCTGGAGATTKTTTAAAATCCTGACTTTTCCATCACAGAGGGCTTGCGGGTTCTACTCACTGYTGCCAAGCCCTCACACGTCCTAGGCACACACCGCTAGGGACTAGTGGYCCTGCTTGGTGTCCTCTTTGACCTTCATGCTTCTAGGACGTTGTGTCCACTCTTACAGAGTCAGTTTCCAGTTGTCCAGGTTGTGAATCTTCATCCCGCCCCGTGTCCACCTGAAATCCCACCCTCTTCCAGTCCCCGTAGCCTCCAAGAAGCATCTCTGAAGGGCAGGGCCTCAACCRTGTGGCTGTTCCATCCATTGGATTTACGAGGCTAGGGATTGGCTACTCCTTCCTTAAAAGCCCGGTGACAAATTCCAGCATAATCCACACCTATCCCACAGTGTTGCCAGGATCCAAGCAGCTGTTCCTTATGCACCTGGGTGGTGGGGACTTTTCCACTTATAAGGCCAACAAACTTGTTGATTCTGGGGGGAGTATGTGCCCTCCCCACCCCGTCCCTGGAAAACAACATTTTAAAGCTACCAGAGGAACGTGCAGCTTTTGGTTTCTAGATGCAGGGCTTGGTATGACCAGCCTTTGCRCACAGAGGGAGGGACCCAGACAGCAGAGCCCTCCTGCCAGCACTCCAGGGGAATCCCCCAGGGGACACGTGGTCCCCTTTTAACAGGAGGAGGCCTCTCCCCCCCCCCCCCGAAAATTCAAGGCTTTTCTGTTTTTCCAAATAAAATTTCCTAGGGTTTTTTTTTTTTCCTGACCACTGGGCATCCTGTCTCACCTTCCATCCCTGACCCTCTGAGCTATAGACTCTGTGACCACACTGTCCACCCTGCCCAAGGCTTGTACCAGGGAATTTGGGGATCCAGCAAACAGTGATGTGGCTGAGCTTCTTTGGGGGATCCCTGTGGGTGGCTACTAGTCTAGGATCCCAAATCTCCAGCTCAGAGC